AAGGGAACTTGTTTACTAGGGAAACTGGCCCAGAGATAAGGCATTTTTTTCAAGAAGCTGAGCATGAGGCAGAAGTCACTTCTGAGCTGGTCAATCCCACACTGCATATTTCCTTCCAAAAGTGCAACAAAGCCTTTTTACTCTTTACGACGCTCTTTCCTTGTTTTAACAGCAGCAGCAACACAATCCTGACAAATGACACACACTCACAACTACCAGTCGCTCAAAATTCACATTTCTCCAAATGCAAAGTTGGAGCACCAGATCTGTCTGCTTCCTCTCTCTCTCTCTCTCTCTTTCTCTAACACTGCCCCAATCCCTAGGAAGTCTTATCTTCTTTACAGGACTCTAGGAAGTTCCCAGACCCTTACCTTTTCACTTGTTTGTTTTCGTGCTGAGTTCACTCTTAAATGTTAGGAGTAGACATGGGGATGAATAAAATAAATCACAATACAGTATTTGTAATAAATGGCTGATTCATTCAATATTTGTCCTTTTGTATTCATCAGTTCTGGAGACTCCAACAAAGATGGTGAAGGGACAAATATTAACCCATTCTTATTTGTCGCAATAGGCAGAGAGAGCTTCCATTCAGGCAGCCTAGCCTGATCAGCAGGCCCATAGACAAGGTAAGAAGGTGACAGGGCAGTGCGAAAGGGGTGGGGGAGGCTCAGCTTTTTTTTTTAAAGACAGCCATGAACCAGTGAAATTATTTGTGGTTCATTGGTCAACAATGGGGAAATTTGTGGTTCCTTGTTTGTTTTCGTGCTGAGTTCACTCTTAAATGTTAGGAGTAGACATGGGGATGAATAAAATAAATCACAATACAGTATTTGTAATAAATGGCTGATTAATTCAATATTTGTCCCTTTGTATTCATTCAATATTTGTCCCTCAGTTCTGGAGACCCCAACAAAGATGATGAAGGGACAAATATTTACCCATTCTTATTTGTCGCAATAGGCAGAGAGAGCTTCCATTCAGGCAGCCTAGCCTTCCCTCTCTGAACAGCTGATCAGCAGGCCCGCAGGCAGAGAGGGAAAGGCTAGCCTAGCTTCTCTGCCTATGGCCTTCCATGTGTGCTTATGGGCCTGCTGAACAGGTGATCAGTGAGCCTATAGGCAGAAAGGGAAGGGCTAGTGTAGCCCTTCCCTCTCTGCCTATGGGCCTGCTGGACAGCTGATTGGCATGCTATATGCAGACAGGTCAGGTTCTGCTGCCCTGAGGGAAGCTGCAGACACCACCATCTTTGTAGAGATGGTAGTGGTGACAGCGCAGGTGGCAGTAGCAGCAGACAAGGTAAGAAGGTGACAGGGCAGTGGGGGGGGTCAGCTTTTTTTTTTTAAAGACAGCCTTGAACCAATGAAATTATTTGTGGTTCACTGGTCAAAAATGGGAAAATTTGCGGTTTGTCCTTCGTCAACCTTGATGAACCATGAACCATTTTGGTGGTTTGTCCCCACCTCAAATTAGGAGTGCAGGCCTCTGCTGTTTCTTTTGTATAAGAATGCCTCTGGGGGTCATGAAGGGGATAAAGACTTTCTGGGAAACAGAAAGAGTTTTGGAGGTCACATCGCACCATACCAGTCTCCCACTTTTCTTTTCAAAGAGATGTGTTTGTGTGTGTGTGGACAGAGGATGACAACTTTTCAAGCCTGGTAGATGCCAAGGAGGCTCCCACCTCTGCATCAAGCAGGACTGATATTCTAGAGCAGGGGTATCCAAACTTTATATCAAGAGGGCCACATGATATATTTTATATGCTTTTGAGCGCCAAAGGAACTCACGGGCACGGACACACACACACACATATGCAGGTGCAGTTAAGCCCCACCACCCACATGTACGTGTGCAGGGTGAACCCCCCACCCCACCAGGAACCCATTTGGCAGTTTCCCCTTGCAGACCAGCAGGAAGGGAATGGACCTGAGCCTGCAGACCTAAGCCTGCCGGGCTGGATAAAAAGGTAAGGTGGGCCGGATGTGGCCCGTGGGCCCTACTTTGGAGACTCCTGTTCTAGAGATTCATATAGCAGTATTTCCATGTCCCACCTGAAGATTAGTGTAACTACAGATATTTTGCCAAGAAGGAAGAAAAACATCACCAAAAAGATGGTAAAAGAGGTCACATTTGCATAACAATTGCATATACAATAATTCACATGTAAAAGGCTGACTTTTTGGGACTACGTACATTTTCCAGAACTGTGGATTTATTGAGCAAACAAACACATACCTTCCAATGTTCCATGCTTCTTTAAAGTTAAAAAAAATACAGAAAATATCAGGTGTTGATGTTATTATTATTTTTTTGCTCATAAGGCATGTCTTCTACGGCCCTTTCCAATGCACACATTTGCATTATAGTAATCAGTTTCATTTAATTGTTAAAAAAAAACTATGTTGAGTGCAATATAAGAGTTCATGCACAACAAGATAAGCATAGATTTTTCCCTCTGAGCATGCTGGGCAGGGTTGCAAGGGTAATAAACCATTGTTAATTCAGTGACCTCTCAAAAAACAGCATAACTGAAATCTTAGCTAAATTAATACAGACAAAGAAATAATAAAACCAGAAGAATCCAGAAAGAGTTTTCTTCATCCATACTTGAAACAAGAAGCATTTTGTGTAAGTTTGATACATTATTAGGTAAAGAGTCAAAAGTGAAGTGAGGCTTGTGGTCAAAGACAATATAGAAAAAGACCAGAACTGATCACAGCGAGGTTGTCAAAGTTTGCTCAAGACTGGGATTTCCACAGAATTCAGTACTAATTCTCAACAAAGAATGATGACATACGTGGCATTTGGGGAGCTACAGAAATTTTAAAAACCTATCTCTCCATGTTATAGCAACTTCCAGACACATGTACTCTACAAGCGTCTCTAATTCAAATCTTACTCTTTAAAGCAGAGTGTGAAATGTTACATATGAGCTTGATGAAAAGTAGTTAACAAATACAGTGTAAGAACTAAAGAAGTGTCTTGTTACATTTGACCAAAGACCTGTCTAGTTCAGAATTCTATTCACAGAGTGGCCAACTAGTTGTCCCTGAGAAACTCATCAAGAGGACATGAACACAGCTGAACACTTCCTCTTACCTTAACCAACAACTGATATACATAGGCATACTACCTCTGGTGTATGGAATTCATAACTGTGGAATAAATAATCACACCCTCCATGAATTTGGCTAGTCACATTCGAAAGCTGTCCATGTCAGTGATCATCAAGACTCTAGCTGGACCATCTGGAAGATACTTAATAGACTTCTAAGTTAAATAGGGAGATCAAAGACTAACCAAGTAAAATGGGAATACTTGGATACAGGAGAAATTTTCTGTGACTGTGGAGAAATTCAATTAATATAGCACTTACATGTATGCAATTTATGTCCCCACACATATACAAAACATCTAGCTAATCGACAAGGTAACATTATTGAAGTAATCTGGTGCTGGTTAAAAATAGTCTAAACATTATCTTAACATTTTAATTTGTTTTTAATTTCACCTGTCTTTCATATCGATCCATAATTTTAGATCCTCTGATGTGTATAAAGAAAGATCAAGAGAATGCATTATCTTAAGGTGTCCTGCATCTTCTGTCCTGCATCTTCTGAAGCTACAGGTTCCACAAAAGATGTGAACAAAACACTACTGGCCATAATGAGGGATGACCTTTAAGAGCCTGTCTAGTGTACTATTCCATACAAACAGTGGCGTCATCGAAGACATGAAAGCAAAACCAACTTCCTTGTCTGCCTCTTTTGTTCCTGGACATTGATAAACAGAGGCATATTGCTTCTGATACTTTCTAGGATGTAAGTCGCTCTTGGCTGGTAGCTTTATCGTCCAAGAACGTTTACATTCCCCTTTTAAAACTGTCCATGTTGGCAGCCATTACTACCTCTAGTAGCAACAGACAATACATAAGGAAGAACTGGAAAAGCAAGCAGGAGTTGTTCACTGAATGACATCATGCCTCCAAAATAGGTCTGCTTAGTTTGAACGATCTTTGAGTGAATGAGTATTTTCTGCTACCATAAATAGGAAACTTCCATAAAGAATTCATAAACAGAAGCATGGAATTCATAATCATCATGTGGATGAGATGGCTGGACAGTGTCTACGAAGCAACCAACATGAAATTGACACAACTACAGGAAGCAGTGGAAGATAGGAGGGCCTGGCGTGCTCTGGTCCATGGGGTCACGAAGAGTCAGACACGACTAAACGACTAAACGTTCGACGATGTGGAACACTTAGAGCAATTAAAATCTAGCAAAGAACCACAGGCAAAAGTCTGCTGGAATATTAACTTTAATTTTCTTTTAAAATGTCAGCAACACAGGATGGTAGAGGGAGGCATTGTTTGTCCTGCTAAATAAACCGTGCTCTAACTCTCTGTGCGTGAGAGAAATTGGGTTGCTCAGTTTCTCAACGATTGCTTTCCTGTGGTCCGTCCATAGGTGTGACTACCCAACCCAGCTCCTGGAATTCTTTCAAATTATGCCTACCAAATACCTGTTGCATTTGTTTGTGCAACACTTTAGCCTCAAATGAAACCTACTGAAATTTACCTCAAAGTTAGATACACCCGGTTCCTCTAGCCCTTCCCCTGTATTAATGGTCTTTTCAGCTTGACCAGAAACCCACTTTTAGCGCCAGCATACATTTGGAGTTGTTAGACGCCATCAACCAATTTACAATGATTCCAATAGGGCTTTCAAAGTAAGTGAGATTATTTAAGTAGTTTTATCAGTTCCGCACTCCAGGTGAGGTTCCATGGCTGGGCAGGGATTTGAACCCAGGCCTCCTGAAGCCCAGGCCTTTACTGTATCAGCCAACACCACACTGGGTATCAACAGGGCATGGGGCTGTTCAAAGATGGAATTGGGGGCGCAGGCTATCTCAGCCTTTAATCTCCTCCACTCTTCTCTTTTAGTTAACATAATTCTTTGCTTCCTCTTTCCTGAAAGGTTACAAAACACACAACAACAACCCAGGAGCTACTGCCATGGCACAAAACCGAAATTACAACTAATTCTGGCAATCTCCCCTCCCCTCTTTTGGGGGCGGGTAAAAAGGAAGTGTGATCATGCCCACAAAGCAGGGGGAACATCCTTCCCAGCAAGGCTGTAAAACAACCGCCTTACTCTCTGCGTTCAAACTTTCCTCGAAGAGCAGCGGATTTATCCCACTGCCCTTTGGAGAAGGTTTTGGGAGGTAAGAAAGCGAGCGAGAGGGGGCGGGAATCGCAGGGTGCTTCGAATCTATCCATAGATCAATCGATCGATTTCGTTTCTCTCGCTCTCTTTTACACACACACACACACACATACACACACACACACACACAAACAATGTTTTTTTAAGTCGACTTCCTTGAATCCCGAGCCTGCACGGAGTTGGCTTTCAAAACATCTGGAAGGCGAAAGTCTCCGAACCGCTTTCAGGGTGTCTCTCTTCCGTTGTGTAAACACCCCAGCGATCCAAGATCGATTTGGCCTTTCCGTTCAGGATCGGCCCTCGGTTTTTCAGTGGGACTTTAGATAAGATGGCAAGGAGGGAGGGAGGGGGAAACCGAAAAACAAGAAGCCAGGGGAGCACATGACTGCCCGCCCGCCCGCTCACCTCGTTTGCGGCCCTTGGTGTTCAGCCAGGCCCCTCCTGGGTGCGGAGCGCGTTATTGCCCCTAACCGGAGCTCCAAATAAAACTGAAAGCGGTTTTCTTCCGGAGTTCCGTGGCTTCCTCCGTGGGCAGGGCGGGGAGGCTTGGCCTCGGTTCCGTCTGCGAGCGCTGTGGCGTTGGCGCGGCCAGGAGCACGTGGTACTAGCCGGGAGCGGTGCGTGAGCATCTCCAGGTACTCCTAACCAAGTAGGTAAGGGCAATAGCAAGGGATGATGGAAAGTGCCGTTGTCGGCCGCTTTTGAAAAAGGGACTCAGTCATGTAGTGGTCACCTTGAAAGTGCAGCTGCCCATCTGGAGAGCTGCCATAGCCAGCCCCATGAAAAATATAGACTGCCGGACCCATACATGTTGACAAAGGATGAGCAGGTCTTTTGAAAAGTTAATAGCTCTTAAGTGCCATTCATGAGCAGATTTGCCTTCAAATACATTGCAGTACAACAGGGATCGTTTACACCAGCAATGGCGAACCTATGGCACATGTGCAACAGCTGGCACACAGAGCCCTCTTGTTGGGCACGCGAGCCATAAGTCGCTGGATCGCTACACTTGGCAGCCAAACCTGAGGAGGCAGCTGCAGCCACAGTGCTAGTGCCCCAACAGGCGGCGGGCCAGGATCCAGAGCAGCTGGCGCTGCTGACGACAGGCCGGCCAGGATCCAGAGCAGCTGGCGCTGGTGACGACTGGCCGGCCAAGCTATAGGTAGTGGCAGGGTTGGGCATGACTGGAGGCGGATCTGGAGTGGAGTCTGGAGGCACCTCTGTGCCTGAGATTCCCCCTCCCACCACCACTTCCACTTCTGCTGCCGCTGCCTGCTGGCTTTTTTTGTCCCAGTTTGGGCACTCGGGCTCAAAAAGGTTCACCATCATTGGTTTACAGCAACAATACATTGTCCCCAGGAAAATCCATTTGTCTCCCTGTTACCATAATGGTGCCAACTGAGCCAGAGAGAAACCAAAGGGTGATGGTTGATGATGTGATACTCCCTGCTGCTCAGAAAGTCCCAGGACTAGAGATGGGGGTATTCGTATACCCTCGCACAGATGGCGATAACGAGGGTTATCCTCTCACCGATGCACTAATGCTGTGGGGTCCATGCTCCCATCCTATCGCTCCGGAGATTGCGATTTCCGAGCCACTTCTGGCAGGAGGCGGGACAACAAGAGTCTCTGCCAGGTTGAAGAGTGGCTCGGCGATTGGTATCTCCAGAGGGATAGGATGGGAGTGTGGACCCCACGGCATTGGTTAATGGACTGTCCGGCCCAATGGAGCTGGACCCCCGTTATCTCCACCTGTGCCTTTGACCTTCTGAATTGTGGCTCTCATTCCTGTTACTTTTTACCATTAGCTGTGGCAGCTAGATGGGGGGAAAAGGACAGACTTCCTGTACTTTTAATGTGTGGGTGCAGGAGGACATTTTAGCAGGTGTTACAACAGCTGCACTTGCTGAAATTTCTTCTTATAACTTATTCTTAAACATATAGGAGCCCCGTCCTTCTTTCATCTGGCCACCTGTAGCTCGGGCAAATGAGAGTTGCCGTCAATAGCTACAGAACCATATATTCAACACTCCTGGTGAAAGACTACGTTCCTCTCCAAGTGTAGAAATCCTCAAAGATAGGAGAGCAGCACAACAGAAGGGAAGAAGCTATTGATAGCCACTGGTCATCCTGGTTTGAGGATTGTGGGAGTTGTAGTTCACAAAATGTAACATCTCCAGCCTTTACAGTGAACATCGGAAGTAATGGTGACTGAAATATACTGTAGAAGTAGAGAACATTGGACCCTTCAGATGTTTGGGCTCTCATATCTATATATCCCCACACCTCTAGGGTTGCAGAGCCCAAATAGGATTGTAAATTTCGGCAAAAATTATATAGTAATGTGTATCCCAACATGGGGCCTGCTGTGTTGGTCTTCTGTTTCCAGGAGCCTGGTTACAGAAGGGGGATATCCCACCCCCAATTTTCTTGTGTATGCCAGTCCCTATGCCCTCAGCTATTCAAGACAGGGTCTGAAGAGAGATCTTCATCAGCTTCATCATTACTAGCAATTCTCTACTGTACTTAGGGGCCCTTATAAAGGTCAACTCTGATGGAGAAAAGCTGCATGCACAAGGGCAGTTGTGTAAAGTTGCTATCCCCTTGTGCTCACTATCCTCTGTCATGTGGTCAGGTGTGCAACTGGGTGTGCCATCATTTCTTCAATCAGTGTATGCAGAGGAGCACAACAGATAGACTGCTAAATACACAATGGCCCTTATGCAATTGTAGGGTAATAGGATTCTGTCCAAAGCATAGTTTCTAACCATGGTGACAAATACAAATAGACCCCCTTTTGTTGATCTTGCTGCTCAGTTCAGGGAACTCAGCAAGTTGGATGTCCCCTAGGTTGCATGGAACATGATGTTTGGACCAGCATGTGCAACCCTGTTTCTCCTTTTTCCTCTCAAGCCTAAAGCCGAGGAATATTCTGACTTATAGCACTCCTTTCTAGGGTTCTCTAGAGAAAGAGAAGTAATTTTCCATTCCCCTTTTCTGGAATACTTTTGAGACTGTGCAGTTTGCCTAAGGATACACAGGCTGCCTATTCTCCCAGAACTGAATGCCCAGCTCTGATTCCACAACCAGGTACTCACTGAGCTATCTAGCCAGCTGTTTGGCATGATAGCTCTTCACAAGTGCATTTACCCACTGAAGCAATAGTCCATTCTACTTCCATCAGCCCAACCGAATGGTTAGAAGTCTATTAGTTGAATGAAATAATTAATGAAACCAGAGACTTGCTTTAGTCATGCATTACTCGCACGAAGAGGGCAAATGTGTTGGGAACTTCTCTCAACACCCCCCCCTCCGTGTTACTGTGTTTGGCATAACATCTGAAGAGGGAAGCATCTTCTGGTCATAGAGATGTGTCATGTGATTGAGAACCAGATTGGATTACATATGCCATCATCCTAAATCCAGTGAAATCTGGGAGGCTATAGTCCAACAGGGTTCTAAATCATGTGAGGTGCCTCCATGAGGAGCAGAGGTTCTCTACTTCAGAGGGTGACAACAGGCAAAAATAGTAGTGCATCTTTGCAAGCCTGGATGAATTTGCAATCTTGCTATCAACAGGCTTGTTTGTGGGAATAATGCACCAATACAGCTAATATGACCTCTGGGAAAGAGCACTTGTTTCCAGAAAGCCATGACTTAACAATTCTGTTTCTGTGTTCTTTCTCTCTTACGCCCTTTCTGGTTTGTGTTTGAAGCTGAGTAATGTTGTTCTTGGTTTTCCCTGCAGGATTTTCTAAAGTACTGCCATGGCCAATCCGTTTGAGACTACAGATACTGAAGAGACTGTAACCTGTCTCTGTATCACTGTCTATCATCCAGAACAAGAGCAAAAGCAAGTATTCCGTGCCTTAAAGTTTTGCCAGCATCAGCAGCTGAGAGCAGACGAGCTGGTTAAGTTTGGAAGAGACACTAACTTCTGCCTTTTTAACTTCGTAGACGGACGGGTTTCCCGCATCCAGTTTGCCCTGCATTTTTTCAAACACTTCAACAACACAGAATTTGGCTTTGAGATTAAGAATTTGAGCAAAAAGGTCAAACTTATTGTTGACAATGTCGAACTGGCCTACCTGAATAAGGTTGATTTGCCGGAGATATGCCTGGTTCGCTTTGGGGATTATGAAATGCTAATGCAGAAACAAGGAGGACAGTCAGAGAATTATTTTGAGATTCGCTTTGAATTGGCCAAAACACCACTGTGGCAGGATCAGAGGGTACCACTGCGACAACCTATACCTGAAAGTGGCACTTTTTATTCTGATTCTCCACTTGAGGTGGATGAGGATGAATAAATTTGAAACATCCTTTGAAAGATGGACTGACTGGTTCCAGTGTCTTCAGTGCTCACATCTTGCCTGATGTTTCATAGTAATCGTTATCATCCTTATTTGTACAACTGCACATGACCTTGCAATGTGAATGGCTTAGGCCCTATTAAATGTGCAGTTAGCCTCTTTGGCCACAATTGCAGGGAGCATGGCCTTCAGGCTACTGTCAGATCTGAAAAATGTTCTCAGCCTCTTGTGAGTGCCCAGGGCTGAGTAAGGTCTTCCTTCGTGTACTTGCTCCTTTACAGACATTCTGTTCTCATTACTCTCTTCCTCCTGTTAGTAACCAGCATTGTCAGGGTTATCAGATGGAGAGCTACATGCGCCTCATTGTATCTCCCTACAAACAAGAGCCCAGGTCCTGCAGCTACCAGTCGCCACTCCTGAGGCCATCAGAGTCAGAGGAAGCAGCAGCTTTGTGGTCATTTGGTCCAGGACTTGCTGACCTTTGTAAAAAATGCCTTGGTTTGCTTTTTTTTTTTGCTTCCTCCCAATCCTTTCTTTTTTGTGTTGTGTCTTTAAATTTGTATGTGGGTAGGGACTGTCATCTGTCCTTTGCCAGCAGCTCCTGGGACTGAGGAAGGGGGTAGTGGTAATTTTTTCAAAATAAATAAATGCAAATAAATGATATCTCTGTATGAAAATGTCTCGTGCAGTCATTTGCATGTTGGTATGACCTCTTAGGATGGCATTTCATGGGCAAAGTTTGACTTTCTAGGTATTGTTGGACATCAGCTCCTATAAATCCATTGGTATAGCCAATCATGAGTACTGCCGGAAGTTGCAGTGCAGTACACTTTGAGGGCCACATCTGGTCCACCCTGAGCTACTTTGTGACCAGGAAAGAAAAAGAACATTCTGCCCTTTAATGATACCACTGCCATCTTAGTTGGTTGCCAATGATAACTAAAAGTAAAGCTGGGCCTGCTTGTAGAACATCTGAAGGCTTTTTAAAGAAATGGTCTTGTCCATTAAAGCTCACATTAAAATATAGCAGTTAGTCTGTAAGATGTCTTTATTTTTTATATTTATTTTGTTTTGCCTGATATACTAGCACAGACTAACAGAGCTAAAGGCCTCTTTTTATTTCAAGCTCAACATGTGCTGGAAGGAAAAATTGATGATACAAAAAAAGATTGGAAGTTGTGAAAGTAAATGAATGTACAAACATCAGCATTAACACTGTTATTTTACTCTGATTTTCCTAAGATGGCTGTATTGTTTGGACATCATTCTTTGCTATCTTTCATAAGCAGCTATGATTACAACTGTAGTCAATGAGTTAGAATTTATGCTCAGGACTAGGAAATCTGGGTTGAAATCTGTATTTAACCATGAAATTCATTGAGTGACTCAGGATGACCACATTTTCCCATGTTAACCTACTTACAAGGCATTTGTATAGATGATGGGGGGGGGAGAAGAAATCCTTACACTCCCTCTAGTCTTACCTAATAGAGAGAAATAAAATATAATTAATCACAATATTAAAGGTACAGCCTGAAGTTCTCCATAATTAGGCTGCTTGAAAGAGATTTATAAGTATGAGCTGCTGCTTTCTGGAGGCTGGCCAGGGAGATTTATATATATGTAACAGAGAAACTTCAACATTATTTTCAAACCAGGATTTACTATCTTTCAAAACATACTGGAAATTGTAAGATTTAAATGTATGCCAACATACCCTCCCCTTAAATGTTCAGTTTAAATTTATTATGATCTAGAATCAGCTTAAATATAATAAGCAGGGCTTATGTAGGCATCCTTCAGTCTTAAGAGAGTATGGTAACGTGCTCTGTATGGAGGACTTGGCACAGCGTCTAGTGTGGCTGAAAAGGCCAATTCGAGAGTGACAATCCCTTCCACACTGAAGACAAATACAATCTTTCCCCTGTCCAGCTCCCTGATTTTGCTGCCTTCAGGAGTGCCCCTTCGCCTCAGCATGCTGGACAAGAATCTCTTCGAATTGGGAGAGGCCATGATGCACCACCTGCCTCCAGGCTGAACGCTCAGATGTCAAGTTTTCCCATCTGTTGAGGTCCATTCCCAAGGCCTTCAGATCCCGCTTGCAGATCTCCTTGTATCGCAGCTGTGGTCTCCCTCTGGGGCGATTTCCCTGCACTAATTCTCCATACAGGAGATCTTCTGGAATCCAAGGCTGGTAAAACATGAATTTACTGTGTGTCTCCCATTCTTCAGAGCTTGGAAAAGTTACTTTTCTGGACCACACCTCTTAGAATTTTCCTATGTTTGCTTATTTATTGACTCAAATGAGAAAGTGAACATGTGCATCCTGCTGGATGTCCAGAGGTTTACAGAGTATGTTAAACATTTAAGAATAGATTTGTAAGAAGACACAGTAACAACAAAAACAGGTTATTTCTTTCAAAAAATCTCTAAGCATTTACCCTTAAAATATATAGATGTTATAGATCTCTGATTTCTCTTCAGATTGCATAAGTCTTTTGCCTTATAGACGTTTGAACAAGAACAATTTAACAATCTATAATATCTCTTCCTCCTCAAAAACAAATCAATGTGAGATATCCATGAATTATAGCAACCTTTAATGATGTGTGTAAAATGTCAATTTAGCAATTGCTAAAATTGCAAACCAGACATCTAGTGGGCAAATATTGTGAATATATTTGTTTTGGCAATAAGTGAGAGTAATGACCATGCCATGTTAATCTTTTTGCCAGCAAGCAAAACTTATTTGCTATCAGGCAACTTATGTAATCATACCTACTGCTTTCTAGGACTAGGCTGTTGCTAACAGGTAGAAGATACTGCTGTGCAGCAAGAGAACGAAAACAACCACTGCTAATGGGTGGGACGTAGCTAGCAAGTTAAGGAAACAAAAATTAGAATATATTCATAGTTTCTCACACTCCCATCAGAGAAATCGGAGTGAGTGGCAGTTGCGAGAGATGTCGCAAGGCAGCGGCACCAGAAAATCAACAATGATATTTCCTCCTTAGACTGGGTGAAATCTGTTTAGAAATATTTTTTCTAAATGTGTGTCTAAATGTGCTTGGAGCTAAATAATGCATTTTTATTTTTTATATTTTTACTTTTAAAAGTTTGAGTACTTTTCCATGCCTTACACACCTTTTTGATTTTTACAATTTTATTCTTAAGGACTTTGATGTCTTTTAGAGATTTATTCTCTGCCCTTTTGGGCAATAAGCTTCTTTATTCTATATGAATTTTATTCTAATGACAGCTGAAACTTTGTACTGAATGTCTGCAACTTTTCATAGTTTAAGCGTATGTTCCTTGTTATGAGGTTATAAGTTGCTACTGTTTTAGAATGTATTTGAAACAATCCAATTTTTTATTCTCAAAAGTTTTTATTCTTAAAAGATATTATGCTCCTGTATTTTAGTCTTAAGAATTTCCTTACAACTTAAGTTCTGTTTTTATATATGCTTAGGTTATGTGCCTATAGTTTCTTACAACTGTAAGGATGACCTATGACTTCTCAAATCACATGATTTTAATACTTTAGGATTTCATGTTATGCTTGTAGAATATGGAAGAAATATAGATGAATGACACACTTTGGAGTTGCCCAGAAATATTGCAACAAAGAATATACTTGTACAGTACTTAAGATATCCTGATGAATTTTGAAATGCTTGTCAATGATTGTCTGATTTCATTTTGGATTTGACCCTTTACTGGAATAATGTCAGCTCTGAGGAACATACGTAGAATACTTTTATCACCTATTGATCTCTGAATTACCTTATAGGTCTGATTTTAAACTGGTCTATAAAGGAAATATACAGAGTGCCTCCCAGTGAGGTCTGGCATCATAGTAATCAGTTGCTCTAAGGCTTATATTTAAAAAGTTACCAATCACATCTCATTGAATCCCTGGAACTAGAGCAGTGATGTAACCTGACACCAGAAGGATGATGGTCTTGGATCCATGGAAGCCTAACTGGGGAAGCAAGATGGGACCCTCACCTATCTTCTAAACCTTTCACAGAAAAAGGACTCAGATTAAGATTTTAGAATTAGGTATTTCCATTCATGAGGGAAGAGATATTCTATCTAACTTTGGGGTATTCAACTGTATACATTTTTTCATGTTAAATATTAAATTGGGCCACCACATTTTTCAGAACCAGCATACCTGGGCCAGAACAGCTATTTTGGATGGTTAGTCTGATTCTTGTTATCAAACTGGCTGTTTTCTGGATCATTTTCAAATGCAGAGCACATTGAAGTAACCTAGCCAAGAAGATATCAGAGCACAGACTACTGAAGCTAGATTATTCTCGTCATAGCTAGGCCACCAGTTAAAGCTGGTGGAAGACATTTTGCCACTGAGACCACCTGTTATAATTGTGGATCTAGACCAAATCCCATACTATGAACCTGCAAATTTAGGGAAAGGACAACCACATCTGGAACAGCTTGAATGCCAATCTATCCCATAATGACTACCTATATTTGATCAAAACTATTCAGTAGAAGCACCGCAGATATGTCTGGATTGGATCTAAATTCACTGCCCCTCGCCCAGTCCACTGTCAGAACCAGGTGCTAAAATACTAGAAGTTTAATCACTGATTCTTTTCCAATTGATCCTGGCATTTTTATCAGAGTTACCCATCTCAATCTCAGCATCTCTTGTGATCAGTCAATACCAGCTCAGACCCAGTACAAGTGTGTGAAAAACTGGCAGACTTCTCAGACTACAGGATTCCCTCAGTATGAAATTTGAATTATTGTCAGTATGCACCTACTTTGTATTTATATCAACCTACTTTTGCTCGTTTATCTGGTTTGAACATATCCTATATGACCCTTTTTGTTTTCAGTTCTCTGAATAATTCGGTGCTATTTGCAATACAGTGGTGCCTTGCAAGATGAATTTAATTCTTTTCACAGTTAATGTTGTCTTGCAAAAAATTTGTCTTGCGTTCCTAATGGCAAAAAAAGTCAGAACAAAGTCAAATTTGGTTTAGAAAGGGTTTATTAAGTGCTCTTTAAAGCCATACATATTGTGCAGATGATTTCAAAAATTTCAATCAAAAATCTTTAACTTTTTAAACATCATAGAAAAACATTTAAAAATCAACAAACATGAGGCAGGAACAAATAACGAAAAACATTTGTTTTGCGAAGCACGGTCATAGGAACATTCGTCTTGTGAGTCATCAACCCTATCACCAAAGCCATTTGTCTTGTGAGTTTTTTGTCCTGCGAGACATTTGTCTTGCAAGGCACCACTGTATTTGGCAAAATCTCTACCCATACCACAAACTCAAAATCATTAATGAACAAGACAAAGAGAAGCAGTCTAGCTATTGATCCTTGGGGACTCCACTTCCCCTCCCTTTTTGACAAGGACAAACGTCTATCTATCCTCTGCTTTGTGTTCTTGTCAACAATCCATAAATGATTCCTCCTTACAATGACTATTGCAAGCACCCTACCATGTGACTTCAATTTTCATGAATTTTAGAGACATGCAGAAATGTCTATTCCTATATCTGTAGCCAACCATGGTGTTGTAGGATGGTGATTTTTTTGTACATAATTTGTGGATTTTGTTATCACAGAATGTTATCACAGTGATGGCTTCTAGCAAGAACAAGTTCCTAGGCATGTTTGCTCAGAAGTAAGTCCTACTGAGTTCTATGTGTGTATAGAATTGCTTACTGAGTAAACTAATGGCTATTATGCAGTATGGCCTGTTTGTCAACTTGGAAGAAGCATCTGCTTGGTTGTTGTAGAAATAGGATGAAGGCCTAGAGGGAGTATACATGTTTGGACTACAGCTGTAGAAATCTTTATGCCAATGGCCATGCTGGTTGGACCCATATGTTTGAATCACAAAGACCACTGAGAAGAAAAAGTATCTTGTCCAAGTCTTGAGTGAGCTGAGCAATCTAATGCAGAAGAGATTTTCAATGTTCCTATGAAATTCTAGTTGTGGGGACAGAGGCACAAGGAACAAATGCATATCCATTCTCAGCACTTCTAAAGGATCAAAATAAGAAAGGCAACCAATACTCCAAAGTCTCCTATGTAAACATACAAGATACAGGGGAAATGACATCACCTGCAGGGCGACCCAGAATTCATGTGGCAGAGTTTTTAAGTGACAGCTACTTGAGTCTACTGAATTTCTTGTTGTAAATGAGTTACAATGAAGGATTACAACACTGACTCTAATTGACAGTTGCTAAACAAAGAGTCTGATTCCCAGTGTAATATAGTGGATACACAGTAACCTTAAGTTACTTCATATGTGTAAAAAATTTATTCACAGCTTGAGAAATTTAAACTTTGGAACCAAACACAGCTAAAAGGAACAGACACAACAGGTTATGTCAAACCAAAAATATACATCTGAAGTGTACAAATCTCTTATAATAAAGCATATTACAGGCATTGAAAATGCAGAACTCCACAAGTAAATATATTTAGCAACAAAATTTCTGTTTGAGAAATGCCATACATGAAAAAAAGTATGATGATCAATAGCTGTCTTTCTTTTTAAAACATAAAGGCACACAGGAAAGAAATCGGTCTAAAGTGATCCTGGCACACATGGGTAACTCTACAAATATTTCATAATTATTTACTGCCACTGACCACTGAACCTCCATAATATATTACAGGGGGAAGTGAAGAGTGTGCCTAAAAAGTAAATGCTCTGAGTCTCAAATAAAGTTCTATAAATTAATCAGGATCACGGGAGCAAGAAAAGGTAAACAAATACATACAAAAAAGGTATTTACTGACTCATAATTGAATAGTAATGAAGGCCTGTTACAGAGCAATAGAGAAACCCTACTCCTCCAATGTTCTCTGACCCATCAATCTTAGCCAACATAGCTAATGAAGGATTAGAGAAGTTCAAAAATTTATGCAGGGCTGCAGCTGCCCACCCCTGCAGTAGGGGGACAGAGGCAGGAATCACATTTGAATACAGAGCACAAACTTCAGCTGATGTGTTTCAGCCACTATAATGGACAGCATTGCTGTTGGAAGCAAAGCTTCAGCAGGAAATACAGCTCTATTGCAGTTATTTGCTGTGGCTGTTGTTTTGTTTTTCTTTGATATTGTAGCCACTGCTACTGCCAAGAGCCATGGTCCTGCTTGTGCATATCTGCACAGCTTCATTCTTACATGCAAGAATGAAAATATTTGGGCACCACCAACATCCTGCATAATCTTCCAGAAGTAATTAAAACTGATCAAGTTATAGCTTTTATAGCTAATCTTAATTAGCAAATGAATGGAATGATTCATATATATAGGAATGATATACAGTATTTGGACTGGAATAGAAATTTGCATTAAAATAGCCACAATAAGTATGTTTTCTGACTCCCACCAATAAAACCACACTATTTCAAAGATTTTAGTTATTATTGTCGGCTATCATTAAGTTAGCAACTATTAAATAAAATTAATTCTGTACAACTTTTAAAAAATGCAACTAAAATATTTCCATTAGCAGCATTTGGCATTTCAAGTTGGGATTAAAATGGAAACTATGGTCCTCTAAAGTTTTACTTCCATGTTAGTTTCCAGTATCTTAAATGAGAGATGTTTCATACTATATTTCTCTATTTATAGTTCATCATAAGAAAAACCATATATGTGGTGAAATCTGGTCATTAAAAAAACCCTAACTAAATAAATACAATAGGAGAAACAATGGCCAATTCCGTATGTAAAATTTCACTGTGATTTCTACATCATGTTGAACAGAAAAATACAACTGCCTAGTTCTATCATTCAAGTGTTCAGATGTCAACTAATATGTGACTGAAATTATGCCCATGCCAATATTTAATGCCCTAAAATAAGATAACCAATTAAAACATCAAGCCATGATGCTTCATTTAGTGCAGATAATTATATGCTAAAACCCAATACAGATGCAAAAGAATGACTCAGGTATTTTCATAAAATCCCAAAGGCAGATAATAAAATTGCACTTACAATTCTGAATTCAGATAGCAAACCATACTCTCGTTCTTTACATTATAACATGGTTCCCTCCTTTTTTGCTAGGTGATATCTGGAGCTGAGTTCACCAAGTACTGTACTACCATTGTGCTACTTCCTTATTTGAAAAGAGGCCATACAGCAGCGGAGGACTGCAATAATACTAACAACTTAAGGTTTCTCCCACAAAATTCAGCCATTTGGTCACGCAGCCAAAATCCACATGATTTCATTATCTGTCTTGCTGATCAGCATCTGATTTTTTTTTGTCTGAGATAGGCAGTTCTAGAACAGGATTTACAAATCCAGCATACTCCGAGTTGCCATTATCATCCATTTCAGCACTGACAAAATCATTTTCCCATTCCAAACCATTAGAATCATCAGAGGCAGAAGTTGGATTACTTCCAGTTTTTTTGCTACTAAATTTTAATGCTGCCCGGAGTATATCTTCTTCCGTTTTGGAACGTTCTCGCAATGGGACCATTCTGTTCATACCTGCAATTTAAAAAATTGTTTTAACAGAAATGTCTGCTTATATTTCAACAGTTTAAGAGTTCAAATAGATGCATCTGAATTAACAGAAGCCAAAGAAATGGTGACTATATTACAGTAAAGAACAAATAAATGAACCTCCTAGAGTGGCCCTGGCAGTCAGATGGGCAGTATAAAGCCAAATAAAAACAAAACAAAACAAAACAAATAGTATTCAGTAGGGTATGGTGCAGAGAGAATTTCTTATCTATTTTTACAGAGGTTTTCACCTTGGCAAAAATAACACTCCAGTTTTGAGTGCCTGTCCACAAAAGTGGAAATTTTGGTTTTACAAATGAAGTTTTCAAATTGTTATGTCATATCAAAACATAACTACATTACAAATGGGTCAATTAATATACTTATCTCAGATTTAGAAGCAAGCATGGTATTTTGTTTTTAAAACCAGAGATCCACCCACTGTCTTGTAATCAGTATTCCAGAAATGGCTTAGGCTTGCATTGTGAAATATATCTTACAAACAATAACACTAAGCATATTGTTTTTTGTACAGTAATAATTGGATACATGTGACTGTGAAACTGACACTACCAAATGTCTAAATAGGAAACTAAGTTTCTATATGCAACAGACTGAACATAACAAAAAATCCTGAAAGCTCACAAATGTACAGAAATAATCAGGGCAGAGGGTTTTGTGAACACAAATTCAGCTTATCTTCTGTAATGTCCTGCCAGGTTGTATGTGTTAACAAGTTATCACAACAACACACTCACAACAAGTCACACTAATCACCCATCTCCAGAAAAGGCTAGCTCACAGCCATAAATACTCCACTCCCAAGCAAACTACACCAGAGCACAGAGTGCTGTCCTCTGAAGATGCCGGCCACAGAGATTGGCGAGATGTTAGGAAGAACAACCTTCAGAACACAGCCAAAGAGCCCGAAAAATCCACAACAACCATTATTTCAGAATGTTTTGAAGCTCTCTGTTGTAAAGCATAATTCACAATCAACTTTTTAAAAAGCTTTACAAATCATGCACAAGACTGTGCTAAAGGATTTACATTTCTCTTCTCCTCCCTGCATGTGAAATTTGTTCCAGAGAACCAACACAATCTTCTGAAGCAGAGTCAGGGTGACAAATGGAGAGCTGGAGGGAGAATATATGCTGTCAGTATAATTTGTTTGGTTAATAGGTGAATAATATTGAATACAACTGCCCATGTGGCTGATACTATTTATGGGAAAAAATATCACTTGGAGGGTTAATTTAAAAAATTCAACACTATCTGCTTAGATGCCTAAAATATGTTTACCATTTTAGCCAGTAAGAATATTAACAAAATACAAAGCAAATACCTTCTTCATCTTCCCATTCTAAATCTAAGGAATTACTGTCATCATTTCCACTTGTTGATTTGGTTTTGGTCATTAAGTCACAACTGCTTTCTGTATTTGGTGTCAGAACAGTAGCATCTGACGAGAGCCCTGGGAACAAAAATATTTTAAATATTATTAAATATTATAAAATATATAGAACTTAAAAATAACATCATTATTACACAGATAAAACATCATGTCCAATACATTTAAGACTAATGACATTTTAGAAACAACTATAACTGCCAGTTAATGGGTTTAGAGCAAGGATGCTTTGATTGTGCTGGTAAAACACTCCTTCAGAGGAAGGGAAAGGGCTGTAGTTTTACCTCCTTTCTTCTACCATCTCCTGAACTCTGAAAAAAAAATCTGTTCTGCATGGTATTTAGGGACCATTTGGAACCATTAGAGAGGTGGCATGGGGTCTGCAGGGGTTATTAGCAAAACTGTCTTTAAGGAATTATCATTATACTTGTAACAGATACACATGAAGAATACTCAGCATAAAAACAAATAATGTCTATCAGTTCAAACACTATCAGTGTTTCCTTTCAATGCTAACATTAAGATTTTTTTTTCCTTTCCAAGAAGGGAATTAAATTTTGAATAGCTGCAATTTACAATATAGATGTCTGGTGTACATGTACATGTCAAAAGACTAAGGGTGCAAGGTTAAGTAGCTGGGAGGGAAGCTACACAATACAAAGAAAAAACTTACTGCTACTTCGGTAAGCTTCATATTGCGTTTTTACATTTCTCACATATGAATCATAATCTTCTTCTGCCACTGAGCTGTAAAACAATGAATAAATTAGCCAAGAATGAATATGCTCAGAGAAACATAGTTAAAACTTTAGGATTCCCCCCCTTAAAAAAAAAAAACCTAACAAAGAACGTATTGTTCTTACCAAAGTATCCTAGCAGAATATGCTATAGAAAAGTCACTTCCACATGGTCAAAAGTGTAATTGATGGTATTATCAACCACAATCATATTTTTCAAAACAGAAGTTGGAATCCTGTTGGTGCAAGTTATGCTGCAGATCTCTAGAGATGCAATCAGTGTGGGCATGCTGCAGCCATTTCAGGGGAATTAAAAGCCTTTCAAAGTTGTAGAAAGAGATTTAAATTTAAAGCTTGAAACACACTGTCATCAGTCTTCTGCTGGCTTAAAATTATTCCACAGCTCCCAAAGACTTCCTAGAATGAAAGGGATTTCTTAGGATTCCCAGAACCTGGCACAAAGGGAATGGGAAGCTTTTAATTAATTCTCCCCAAATAGCTACCACATGCCCCAGATAATGACATCACTGAAGTTGTGAGAAGTAACATACACCAACAGGATTTCAGCCATACTTTTAATATGAGATCCAGTACTTTTTGTTTGTGACACTACATAATTTGTAAAACACGTTATGTTTTCCTATCACAACGCAACACAGTAAGTACCTTTTAGTTTTGTATAAAAACTGATTGATGGGTGTGGAATATCTGCTGGAAAGTATTTTTGCATTTGGATGGTGACTAGTTGAGACAGTATGGGGGGGGCTGCTACTGAAATAAGGTGATGTGTGTGAATTTGAGAGAACCATAAGTTATAGCAGTGCTTGCTCGAAAGCTCTTGGACTAAAACTCCCAGAAGCTCTGACCACTCCCTGTGCTGATTAGGCCTTCTAAGAGCTGAAGTGCAAAAACATCTGGGGGTCCAAGTTTGCAAACCACTGACTGAAGGTTTCAAGGTAAAAGAGAGTGAATGGAAGCAAGGAGAAAGGCTATGTCAAGGAACGTTGTGTTTATGTGGTTAAGACATAGATTGGTAATATTATGTAGTGATAAGGAATAATCCTAACAATGGTCAAACTTCTACTGATATTCACATATTTTGGTAACCTGCTTCAACCAATTGTGCCTAATTGAAGGGGTGCATCTCAGTCACATACCTGGTCATGCATCTAACTACACAACCAAGATGTGCCACAACATCTCTGCACCACAGTTAGCAATGGCAAATTACACTAATCTCAATATCAACAAGATGCTAACCAAAATGCATTAATGTCCTGCAGATGTGAATAACATACAGTAACACACCATAAACTGTATTTTAAGGAATTATTTTAGTTACAAATCATACCCATGCCTGTCATCTGAACACTGTTGAAAACAGCAGTAGGTGGATCTCCCAAAGATGATGGCAGTACTCGGAGCAGACTGTGGGAAGTCTTGCTTGCATGAACAAGCAAATGCCTAATATGGTGATTCAAAGTGGTATTGCCACAGATGCTGACTAATGAGGCAAATAAAATTCACTGACTTGTTTGATAAATGGGTAATCAATGCAGAGGGAATAAAAAATCTGATGATTCTAGACAAATATTTATTTCAGCTTCCCTCAGAAACAAGACTGTTCATGAGAGGCAGAAGCCATACTCAATTCTTAGCAAACTGCATATTTACCACAGGTACAGGGGAATGCTCTAACCCCTCTCTCTTTGTTTCTGGTTTTGTCACTCTCTGACACGAGTCTGACGAAGCCACCATTACTTTTGTGGACTCTCTCTGCATGAAAATTCACTATCCATAAGAGCTCTCTGGCAAATTGGTGTCCAAGAATCTGTTTCTCACCAACAGAGGCTCATTTTCTCAAGACCCATTACTCTCCATGTGTAGGAGACTAACAAAACTGGAACATAGAACAGAGGGGCTGGAACTCCTCCCTATACCTGTGGTAAGCATATACGTTTTGTTAAGAACAGAATAAGGCTAGAACCTCACCCCATAATGCCTGCTAGGTCTCAGAGCTCTGTATTGCAGCTGAACAAAAACTAAGAGCACTAGTATGTGATATACAAAAGTATCAATATATATTAACAATGTTCTGTCTAATACTAAGCAAGTAAATTATATACTAAAGTTCTCCAATGCAGGTATGTGCAGCCCAGTGTCTCTACTCATAGAAATGATCAAAGCTAGAGTCTGGAAGTGTTAAGTATAAAGTATTCACATATATGATCAAAGTCTTGGATCCTAGGAGTGGTTGATAAGCTCTGAGTATAAATAATTGTCCACTAAGCTCATTTTGTGGGGTTTTTTTTTTTACTTCTTCAGAAGATCTCCCTTGTACCTCCAAGATGCTGGAAACAGGAACATTCATTAGCAATATAATTCAAACATTGTAGATATAGAAAGCTATTATTTAATATTACATGTTTTGAAAGGTTATTATGGGCACAGGTCTGGAAAGATGAAAACCCACCAAATGACGATATGATCATTAAAAAATATTAGAAAGTGTAGAAATGGATAGATTAACTATTTTTATTTACGCTGGAATTTATTTTATAATGGGTGGAAAGTAAAAATCCCACAGTAAAGGAACAGAAGATGAATAAAAAGTGGGATGTCATGGATAGTATCTCATCAGAAGAATTATTCCAATATACAAGAAAAATACGGCATTTGCCTTTAGGCTTTTTTCCTTTTTTGCATTTAGATTATCTTTGTTTATTTTTCAACAGTTAGAGATTCTTACACTTTATGTTTACCGTTTAAATGTGCATTGTGCTATATATCTATGTTTTTAAATCTTCTGTTGGAAAATTAAAAAAAAAACAATATAATTCAATTCCACGTGGAATTGAATTATAAAACTTTCTTTGGAAGAAAGTGGAGTGGAAAAGCAGGAATCGCTTTGATCAATTGCTTTGATGATTCCTGACTTCCCTCTTCACTTTCTTCTGAAGAAAGAAAATCTGGGTTAGAAAAGTGGGGGGCGTCTTTTATGTGGGGGCATATTATACACGGAAAAATACGGCATTTGCATTGGAGAACTTTATTATATAATTTACTTGCTTAGTATTAGACAGAACATTGTCAATATATACTGTTTGACGGTTTGATATAGTTGTTGATGTTGATACTTTTGTATGTCACATACTAATGCTCTTAAGTTTTTGTTCAGCCACAATACAGAGTTTCCTGTGTTTGTTTGTTTTTCTATTCTGTACTTCCTAGATTTTGATAAGTTTGTGTGAGGAAGTCTCAGAGCTGGCAGATTAGTCTGCACTGAATACAGGGGGAATGGCTAAGTGACAGTACAAAGAAAGCCATTAAAAAAACTAATTCCAAAAAGAGATCATTCTGTGGCAATGAAGAAATAACAGTTAAGAGAATCCAGAAGGCATGAAAGATCAGTTTAAATAGCCAACTTTGAAAGGCAAATGCTTGTTTTAAAGGTGGCCTGTTTTAAACATAGAAAGGCTGGCCATATACAATTTGACTATATTGAGTCTTCAGAGCCTCAGTACAAACTGTATATATAATACGATACAGTCTGGACCCTGAAAGACTAGAGGAAAATAAATAAAAATATTTATTTATGTGACACAACACTTGAGAATGTATAGGACTTTGCTTATGAATTGGATGAAATGGTTCTAGTTGGAGGGGGAAACACTTGAGCTTTTTGGACACAAGGACTAAAATAATTTTAATGTTAGGTTTATTCAAGGTGAGATTACCACACAGCTCAACTTACTAAGCCTTGCCAAGGTTTTTTTTTTCATTCATTCCAGATATATGACCTTGGTTATAGGGATATGTTCTTGTTCTATTTGAAGAGAATGCATAATAGAATGAAAGGGCAATGCTTCCTAAATGATATATATCTTACTTTCGGGTGTCTTCAATATTTCTTCCTTGTGTTGTCCTCTGCTGTCTTTGCTGCTAATAAAAAAAGAAGGAACATCAAACATTCTATAAAATCCAAAAGAAAAACACTTAACATTCTAAACCACTGTAGCCTTAACTCTCTACTCCAACCCAAGTAATAATTTAAATAGCATTATCAAATTAACTTCTCTGACCAGTACTAAAGGTAAATTATATGATTATAATTGATACTGTGTGTGCCTGGACTCTCATGGATAGTTTGGCAAACACATACAGATTCTCTGACACAAAATTTAAACTACTGGACTGACCTATTATTTTTAATTGTTCTTAATTGTAAAGACCTGGGTTTCAAATTTCACTGTCCCATACTATTTGAATAGCTGGAAGAAAGATTTAATGCAATATGAAAGAGAAGGTCCATTTTACTCGCCTGTTCTAACCCATTATACTCTATAATGAATTGGACACTCTATCACATTTTATTTATAGTTCCTTTTCCTGAAATGAATTTAAGCAATAAAACTTGAGTGCTGAATGTCATTCATTCGTTTGTTTGTTTGTTTGTTTATTTATTTATTTGATTTGTACTCCGCCCATCTGGTCTACAAGACCACTCTAGGTGTCTAATAGGCTTGGACAATAATCTCCAAGTGCTATATGAAATAATGCTAACCATATAGAACTTATGATAAATCACAAGATTGCTCTCCCAACAAACTATAGTTGGAATATAAATAACAATGAACCGAAATTCTTCCTCTATGTACCTGGCTTGAGGAAAAACATGGTTTCTTGAAACATAGTTTCCTGCAATATCTAACCTGGCAATCCTAGATGTACAGGATTGCCTGCAGTTTTAGTTAGCAGATTGTGGCTTGCACTTATTTGTGGACAGAGTGCAAGTATCTGAACTTGGATCAGTCCTATGATATTTTTATATCCCTCTCTCAAATCATGGGCATTACAGAATATTGATAAAACCATTCACTATGAGTATAAATCACAACTGTGTCAGAACTACCTTCCTTCACCCACAATCCACCCTGGTGGTTTTTTTGGCCACATAATGAGAGCACGAAGAGTTTCAGCTTTTAGAAACAAGCAATCTGTGTATTTATAGCCCAGCGAACCTTAATCACTGATAAATCTTGAGGAAAATGTGTTTGTTTGTTTGTTTAAAATGTTTCTTCCCTGTCTTTTTCCTTAAAAAGGACTCAAGGCAGCTAATTAAAGGACAATATTTAAAAGCAAAAAACAACAATACTGCAAGTATACAAATATTTTTTTAAAATCAAATAATTACCACACTAAAAATGAATTTAAAAATCAATCCAAAAACATATTCAAAGCAACAAGGCACAGCCACTCCATTAAAAAACCCTTCCAAGACATCCAATCACGAAGGTAAAGCCTGTCCGAAGAGAAAGGTCTTTGTCTGCTTGCAGAAGGACAGCAAAGATGGGGCCAGTCTGGCCTCCTGTGGGAGAGAGTTCCAGAGTCTGGGTGCAACAACAGAAAAGGCCCTTTTCCATGTCCCCACCAAATGGAGATGGTTTGGACCCAGTTCAGATTCAGACTACTGCAGGGGAGTCCTGCTTAGATACTGCCATCTCCTTCGTCTGAATCCAATTACTTCTAGATTCAAAAACTGTCCAAATCTGAAGAACATACCTAGGATTACAAATGTTTTGCATAATATATCGACTACTAAATTTAAAGGTGACAAAGATATAGAAATTATCACAAGCAAGGCTTTACTTTCAATGTGTTTTTAAAAGCAGGTACAACTAAGAGCAAGATACATTAACAGAGGCTCCAATATGTATACTTTGGGGTTTTTTCCCCTCACCTCCAAGAGCTTTTTCTGCTTTGCTGCCCTGGCTGCTTCACGCTGTGCAGCATATAAAGTCTCCTCTTCTATTCTTAACTTCTCTTCTTGTATGGCTAACTGTATATGAACAAAATAATAAGGGTTAACAAAAGAGAACCTAGCTATCTTTCCTATGGAAATAAATGCACAAAATTTAAGGAAAAGTTACATGTAAAAAAAAAAACACAACTCAACAACATAAAAATTATCAGTAAGATTAAGGGAAAACAAAACAAAAACCATAGATCTTCCAATTTAATCTGATTGTATTATGCATAGTGAAAAGCAACTCCAGTTCTAGGTTATAAATATACTTCTCTAATCCTGTACAAATATTTGGGATATAATTTTATTTGAGATAGAAATCAGTGATTTTAACCTAACAGCCTTAATGCAAGAATAGGAAGAAGCCAATAAATGGATCTGGAACAATACTAAAACACTGAAGAATTAGCCCACCATTAATGTGGTTCTTTTTTATCCTGTCTGAATATATTTACAGTGGACCCTCGACTTACAGACGGCTCAACTTACAGACTTTTCGAGTTACAGACTTCTCTGGCCGCAAAATTTAAATTCGACTTGCAGCCGGAGAATCGACTTACAGACCAGAAAAAAACCAAAATGAAACAAAAATAGAATAAAAACTGCCATTCATGGGATTAATCGGTTTTCAATGCATTGTAGGTCAATGGAGATTCGACCTACAGACTTTTCGACTTGCAGCCATCGTTCCAATACAGATTAATTCCGTAAGTAGAGGGTCCACTGTATCTGTGTGAGAGTGTGGGCATTTAGTTGCTCAGTCTGGAGTATCTGCTCTAGGCCTTAAAGAAGGCATTCTGTTTTCAAATACAGCATGAAATTGGCAACACTATTTATCATATGATGATGCCCACTCAGGCATGTTTCTTGATGCCCTTGTGCTCACTGTATCTGCATTCCAAGTACTGCTTCACAGATACACATTTCCACCTTTGTGTACACAGCACAAAGCAATATGTATGCCTATAAAACAGAGATTGCATGAAATGCATTTGTTGCATGGAAAATTTTTACATCCGCATTCATATTTTTTCTTTTGATATACTGTAGGTCTTGTTATTGAATAACTTGTTAATACCAAACCACTTTGAACTCTACCAACAAGGAATGAGCAAGTGACTTGCACATCATCTTTACAAGCTTCCTGTATCATCACCAAAGAAAATTGTACATCTTCTCTGTTCTATTCTTTTACTTATTTAAAGCATTTTTTAGAATTCCGTCCTCCAATTACATATTTCCAGGAAGGTTGTTAGGCACAAGGAAATAAGTATGATTTATAAAATAGCTGATTAACAGTAGAAGGTGATGCTAAGAGTAGTCACGTTTTTTAAAAAAAGAAATACATCATATATAGCTGAGAATGGTATAACCTAGTACTTTAAAAAAAAAGTTAAGACTCCAAACAGGTGTACTGCTTTGGAGAGACAGTTCCACATGAAGAATACAACAACCAGAAAGGCATCTTTCCAAAGTAAAGGTTGTCCAAACCAAGCCAGTACATCTAAACTGGGGCACAAAGGCTCCTGTCCTCAAGCAATGCTTTGTTTCTGGCTTGTATTAAGCCACAGATCCCCGTTATTTCTGAACTGGGGAAATTTAGAGTAACGTTGGTTATTATCCTAGTTTTTAATTGTACATTAAACCAGCATCTCATGCTAGGACATGAAACAGGTCATTGTATCAATGTGAAAACAGGATACAAAAGTGACTTGTGCATCCTATGTTTGTCTTCTCCTGTAGTATTCAAGTCTATTCACAAATGTCGATACTCACCACAGCAATTTTGCTTCTACTGTACCTTTCTCAACCAGTCATTAAAGCCATTATTTGCAAAGAAACATGTGCACTGATATACAGTTAATATGCTTACCTCTGACTGAAGTTTAACATCTAATGTTCTTTGTTTTTCAGCAATGGAATTGTAGTGCCTTTCTCTTAGAGCAGCAATTTCTTCTTCAGTCAAAGGTCTGCAGAAAAAGAAGAAGAAAAAGGAAGAAGTTAAACACTGCTCACTCTTGTCCTCTAAGAATATTATTCATGTGAAACTGGGCATCTATATGTGAATCTCAGATAGATGAAGAAATGCATGAATAAAGAGTTCCAGCGTAAGCAATTCTTCCTAAGCCCACAGCTTGGCTGGGGCAAGTGAAGACCTTTCAAATAGATTTTTAGAAAATCAATCAGCAGTTTGCTTTAATTACAAGAACAATCCTACCCTATGTCCAAACGTTTTTTTCTTAAGAGGGTCATCATCTGACTAAGCATTAGAGAGAATAGCAATTTTTATCTTATTTCTGCCTAGGAATGGAGCCAAATGCTTATTAACTGGTACCAAAATGCTGCTCTAGTTGCAATTTACTATACAAAACAACAGGATTTTAAACAGGAACTTATTCATTTTACTACAATCTTATATTTTGTGCATTTTTTATTCACAATGAAAGTAGGAACTAATTTATTTTACTACCATCTTATACATATGATATGCTTTTATTCACAATGCAAACAGGAACATATTTATTTAAATACCATCTCATATATTTGAGCATGCTTTAATTCACAATGCAAACAGGAATGTGTTTATTTTACTACAGTCTTATACTCACTTACTTGGAAGTGAGCTATATTTACGTTAATATATACTTTATTCCTTCACACAAATATTTTCAAAAGATGAGCTTAGAAATTAAGGAGTAAGGATGTTTTACCTTTGGCTGCTTCCTGGACTTTCACCCTGTTAAAAATTATCATATTACATCTGTTGAGTTATAAAATGATAACATAATCTTACTATCTTTGGTACAGACCTGCTAGATCTAATTTAACAAAAAAGAAACAAAATAAACACCCCAGCCTTTTATCTAATCAAACTGATACTAAATGGTATCATAGAACACTAGGGTTGGAAGTGACTGTAGGGTCCAGCTCCCCACTAAATCAGGAAATACCACCTAAAGTGCTCCAGACTGGTGGTCATCCAACTTCTGTTCAAATACCTCCAGTGATGGACTTTCATTCGATCATCTATAAATCTGTCTAGAACACTTTAATGTCGTAAGAATAGGCTTACAGATTATGGAAATGGTAGTCTTTGTGAACTATCCTGTTCAGCAAAAATCCTGGGAACGTGAATTTCAAAGTGATGATCATTTTTCCTTTATTGGGCCTCATATGTCTGAGGTTCTTGTGCAAAGCATATATTTTATTCAAGTCCATTTCCAGTTATTACTTAAATCTCATAAATATGTATTACTTTTCACAGGACTAAAACAGATGCAACAGCAATAGATTTCCTTATTTAAGCCCAGCTCTGCCCAGATCCAGATACTCAAAGTGTTCTTACTGGCTGGAGATACTGGAAGATGTATCTAAAATGTAACTTCTCCAAGTTCTGCTCAAAACTGGAGTAAATGCACATGATATTAGAACAAAAGGAACGTGTTTGCAATGAGGTGGTAAATCGTCCATCCTGCACTGCTGAAGTTCTTTCAATTCTTCCCCTCAGCTAAACTCCAATATTAAAACTGAAATGGTCAGAGACAAAAGTGATTGAGGAGGTTACAAAGCGGGTCACTTCTCCTTCAAGTGCCCATTTTAGTGTCTAAATTGGATACTCACCCTTTTATTTAAACCCAGTCAGCTATGACATGTGGTCTGGCCCTCAAATACAACAGTGATCTATAACAAGCCCAGAGTTTCTAAGAAAATACAGACAGCTAAGAAGCAAGTGGGTTAAGATCAGTGGCTCTGAAACCGGGGTCCCCAGATGTTCTCAGACATTCACAGAAGCCTTCACCACTGTGCTGGCCAGGATTTCTGGGAGTTGCAGTTCAAGAATATCTGGGGACCCAAGTTTGAGAACCACTGGTTTAGACTACACTACGATAAAGAGGCTGAAACTAATTGCTTGGTTTAATAATTCACAACTAGAGTAAGCCCACTGTATAAATGGAGAAGATGACTTGTCAGTGGGTCTACTCTAGTTTTAACTTACTATAGCAACAGGAATTCAGCTGACATACAATAATATTTAATTAAAACATTTTTACTCTACTTTTCAATTAAAGAGGCTCCCTAGAGTGGCTTAAATTACACTGAATATACATTTTAAAATTCTGCCTGAAGGTTACATATTAAACCAAGCTTTGGCAACTCTGATGCCCCAGATGTTTGGGAATGTAGCTCCCATTATACCTCACCACTGGCTATCCTAGATTATAGCAGCTGTAGTAAAAAAAACATCTGGAAGGCCACAGTTGCCTACCCAAATCTAAAAGAAACAAAATGTGGGAAAATTCTGAGGAGGGAAGTGATTGGTTCTAAAGTTTATACTGTTTTTGTAACAGCAAACTTAAACTGAAACAGTCTGGGAAGCAGAACACCAAGAAGAACTACAGAGCTCAACAGAGCTAATAGAGTAGTCTCTATTGACTGGAGCCAAATGAAATGGTTTTTGCTTGGCAAGAGCAAAAGAAAGAATGAGCCCAATGTAAAAGATCTTTATTTCAGTTCTGTTTTTGCTGAATAACATTTGTATATCACTGTCAAGTGTTCAAAGCACTTCACATACATTAACTATATACCTTGCATATAAGGTATGTTAATTTTATTATCTTGGCAGAGGAAAGTTTCAAACTGGTATTTCCTGTTTCACAGCTTAGTCACTGAGCCGTTAGAAAATAAATTAGCAATTATGTACGGCGATTTACAGCAAATGTACAACATCTTACAGTTTCTCATGAAAAGAGATATGGTGACACAGCAAAGAATAATTCAATTAATTTTTTTTGCCCTGACCCCTCTTCTCATACAGACAAGTCACTATAGCAATAGGTCTTTTCTGAGGGTATGGAATCCCTCTCCAGAATATCTCAATTTGCTACAATTTAGTAATAATCTTGCTTTGTATGTGCTGCAGATATTTCATGATACAGTTTGTGAACACAATTAGAGATGGGGGTATTTGTATTCGTATATGAATGCCCCCACACAGGTGGACATAATGAGGGTCCACTCAACTTCCGCAGCTGCCACATGCTCTGCACTCCCTTCCTATAGGTCCAGAGCTAGCCACTCCTAGCAGGAGGCGGGATGACGAGCCTTGCTGCCAGGTCGAAGAGTGGCTTGCTGACTGGCGGTATTTGTATAAGAATACGAATATCCCCATCTCTAAAGACAATCCTTCTCTTTAATTTTAGTCAGCAGAAGACTACTTACCTCATCACTTTCCACCAGATTCTCAAACTGCAAAATGAATAACATTTCAGTTAAACAAGGAATTGCATCTTCGTGAACATATTAAATAATCTACATCATCTAATATGAGTGTTGTCTTCTTGAAGAACCTTAACGAGCATGAGACAAAATAAACACAATTCAAAGCACATACTGCTGCCCATTTACAATATATAAAAATACAAAAAAGACACTCACCAAGTATATGGATATATCTGTAATGTTACTAAATGCATAGTTATATCACAAGAGCCACCAATCTTGTGTGTAGCATACTCAACAAATGCATTTTAAAGATACCGTATTTGCCGGCGTACAAGATGACTTTTTGGGCCCAAAAAACATGCCTCCAAGTGGGGGGGTCATCTTGTACGCCAGGTGCACTTCATTTGGGCTCGCTCGCCCGCCACCCGCCTGTTTCCCTTTTCCTCCTCCTCCTCCTGCCATCCCCCCTCAGCCTCTTGCCCTCTTCCTCAGCCAGAGTCCGCCGCCCCGCGTGTGCTGAGCCAGCGGCGCGCTCGCTTGCCTGCCACCCCCGTTTCCCCTCTTCTTCCTCCTCCTCCTCCTGCCGCCCCCCTCAGCCTCTTGCCTTCTTCCTCGGCCAGAGCCCGCCGCCCCGCATGCGCTGAGCCAGTGGTGCGCTCGCTCGCCTGCCACCCCCGTTTCCCCTCTTCTTCCTCCTCCTCCTCCTGCCGCCCCCTCAGCCTCTTGCCCTCTTCCTCAGCCAGAGTCCGCCGCCCCGCGTGTGCTGAGCCAGCGGCGCGCTCGCTTGCCCGCCCCCCCCGTTTCCCCTCTTCTTCCTCCTCCTCCTCCTGCCGCCCCCTCAGCCTCTTGCCCTCTTCTTCGCCCTCCCGCTGCTGAGCCAGCGCAGTCGCTCGCCCACCACCCACCGTTTCCCCTCTTCCTCCTCCTCCTGCCTCCGCCCGCCCAGGCTCTTCCTGTTGGGGGGGGTCGTCTTATACGGCCGGTCGCCTTGTAGGCCAGCAAATACTGTACTGGCTGAAATCTGTTGGAATGAGTACATCCCCAGAAAGGTGATGATGTCAACAGTGGGAGTCACTGTGTGCGATCCACAGGATGGAAGGAGAAAGTCTTTCATTACCCAAAATCCTCCCCTACCAGTCATGTCATCTAATGGGGAATTCTGAATATTGAAAGATTTCTTCTTTCTGTCCCATGACTCCCACAGTGATAAAACAGATTATTTGCAAGTAGACAAGTCAAGAAGGAGGGAATCTTTAATTACCATCCCCCCCTCCACTTGCTGGTGACATCACTTCCCTACACAGGCGGACTTATACTAACAAAGTTGCAGCCACTATGTTGTACCCAGACCCAGTTATACTTACAGCAGAGCCACTGAAATCTATGTGACTTAAGGTAGGTATTGTTATTCTCAATCCCACTGATTTTACTGAATTTATGTCAAGCACAATGGATTTTGGATCTAATACTTAATGTTTCAGCTAGCAAATTTGAAACCATAATTTTTAACACATTGGTCCCAAACTCTGAGCAGCAGTAAACAGCAAGAACTGATACCCTTAACTTACCTCTATAGTGAAATGCTCTCCTGTTGGGCATGTCCTAAAGTACTTTGATCTAGAAAATAAAGCAACATTGTCACTAAATAATTAACACTGTAATTTGGAAGGTCTTGGAATACATTTTCTCTATCAGAACCCTTTTACACAAGAACCAGTTTATCTTTAATAGGTCCCTAGGAGACAACTTGGCTGATGTTACTTTTCACACTCCAACTGCTACCATAAACTAATCCACAACAAGTTCCCTCTTCCACACAACTACAGGATATAAAGTGCCCTCATAAAACACATAAAAAGTAGGAGAAAATATAGGACAAATGGAGAAAAGCGAGTTGGTTCTGTTTTCTAGGGCAGGGGCTAAATGTTTGCAGTTAACCAGTAGCAAGCTTTTTTACTGTGCGTTATTACCTGTAAACGTGCACAGAACCATTTGCTTCACACATCTTGTTTCAATTATTCTTTGCATTAGGGCATGAAGCAGACACCAACCCATGGGGGGGCAGGGGGATAGTTTCATGCCACTACTGACAGCACTGAGATCCGGACAGCGGCTTGCCTGCCTGATATGTGGCAAACATGGAGCTGCTGGAACTGCTCCTCCAATGGCACCAACCAGCAGTGCCAAGGCAGCTGGGAAGCCTCCCTGCACTGGCTGGGGAGTAGCACTTGGTTCTTGCATATGGGGCAGTTCTGCAACTCCATTTCTACTGCATGCTGAGAGGGTAAGAACTCTACTGTCACAACCCTAGTGTTGTTAGTAGTTGGGAAATATTCCAGTACTGGCCAGCTGGTAACAGAAGCCCTGGTGTGGTTTTTGAAAGTGCACACTGTTTGTGTGCAGAGACAATAGTCACTGTGAATTCCCTTTGGTTTTCCCAAAAGTGCAGTTACAGCCTAAAACAGTGGTTCCTAACCTTGGTAACCCAGGACAGACTGGTGAAAGAGGGTTCCCAAAACCCTCTTCCACCAGCTGTGCTGTTCTGGAGAACCTAATAACAGAAAGTCAGGTACATGGTGAATCAGCTTTTTTACCTCTCTGGGCATCATACTGCTAACTATAATAACTATATGAGGTGCTGGAGAACCTCTGCTCCCTTCTTCCCCTTAAGCAGGACTGAACTGTTTCATAAGCAGCAGATAATTATAAATGTTCATCTGTGAAGAACTAACAAGTTACATCATCTGAAAAATAAAAAGAATAGTTGTATCTTTTTCAAAAGATAGTTGTTGACCTATTCCTCTGAGTACCATATTTTCCAGTGAATGACAAGAAGGGCACATGACATGCCCTATGAAGACTAGCAAAGTCAATATGATAAGATATATAGCCTATGCATATGTGAAAGTATTATCAGCAGTATTACAGACACTTACTAAATACATGCACTCCCTATTTGGCCAGTATTGTACAATTTAACAAATAATACATTGCCTATGCATTTAAACACAGTACAGCAGATAATGAGAAGAGCTTTTTTGCAAATTATATAGTATGTAGCAGCACGCATCAAATTAATAACAGGTGGGATTCAGAGCTCCACTCCTGGGGAGATACTGGAGGGACAGGGGGAGAAATTTTGCCAATTCTTCCTTCCCCTGTATGCCTCAAAAAAAAACTGATTGGGGGTTGGGAACTGTGTGAAATCTGTTGCCCAACATAAAGAGGGGAATGGGAAAATTACTTCCAACAGGAGATTCCACTGGATCTTAGGTTTCGTTCATGGAAAAGACAAGTTTGGTCTTAATCAATGGGTAGAAAACTTTACCATGTAATCTTATCATATGCAAATCCTCACCTCACAACTTAAACAATCAATACACTGTTAAATAATTTTTGGGCAGCTTAACACATTTAGTTTATTCATTTTTAAACTGTTATATGTAAACTTATTTCACACAACACAAGTGGTAGCTGTGTTCTGGCATTAGTTTATTCCCTAGATAAAATGTAAAGAAAAGCCCAGAGCTCTAATTGTGTTTATTCCCAGAGGCTTTTAAAGAATGGTGTTGTGATCCCTCTAGGAATAAAGTGAAAGCTAACAATGAGGGCACTGAAACAAAATCTGACCTAGTTTCTAATTATGTCTGCATCACACAAACAATGCACCTTTTACTGTAAACAATAAAACAGAATTTCCAGAATTCCTTGAGCTTCAAATACCTAAAATATTCCAACATTTATAACTTCAAAACAAATAGGTTAGTCCATGGCATTGTTCTTTATTTAATTCTGTAGTAAGTTACAATGCAAATACCAACTCCATTTTTAAACAGCTATGATGAACCCAGGGACACTAGGGTAATTTCAAAAGTAATAAAAATGTTTATTTCTGCAGAATAACAGGCATTAAACTGTGAAGTACATTCTATGCAAATCAAGCATTCCAAATGTATTCATATTTATGTGCAAATTATTGAATCCATGAATATTCCTTAGGTGTCTTTTAGGCAAACACTATAGATATGTTGGTTGTTGTGGGTTTTTTGGACTCTTTGGCTGTGTTCGGAAGGTTGCTCTTTCTACGTTTCATCAGTCTCTGTGGCCGGCATCTTCAG